TAGTGATTAAATAGAATAATATAGCTTAAAACGTACATGACGTGTTCAACAATCTTTTTTTATGATTTTTTAATTATTAAAAACAAGTGATAATCATTTATCACTGTTATTACATGTTTAAAAATCTTTAATGTTTCTATTCATCATTACGTGTACAAACAAGTTCTATATTCATCTATACATTTTTTTTCTAACAATAAATTATATTGTCCATCAATTTATTATTCTTTTCTCACTGAAGAGGTAGCACGTGACTGATCAAGATTAAAAACCGATAAAAATATAAAATAATATGACACAAATATATCATATATATATTATATATATTACATAGAATTGAAAACATATATCATAAAATACTTGTATCATTATGGCAATGTTGCCAGAAGTTGGATGACGTTTACCGATAAAATTTATTTTTAACGGTAAGACTACGAATCATAATTGCTTAAAAGAAAAAAAATTCAACCATAACAATAACTGATATTCCAAGGTAAACATTTATACTCTTGGATAAAAAAGCACTGTTGTAGCAATATATAAGAAAGACTTATCCTGCATATATTGCATAGCTGTGATCATTTTCCGTAACATTTTTATTTCACAGCTGATTTAGAAAAAAAAAAAAATACGAATATATTGAATTATAAGCTTGATCATTGCATAACAGCATCGTTCTTAAACAAATACAGTATATGCAGCAAACATTTTTATTTTTTTTCAAAACTTGTAAAGGACCCGAGTTTCTCGCAAATTGAGCAATTTTATACCTACGTTCTAAATGTATAACATGTATATTATACAATATTTGTGGTGTCTTCCGTTTGTGGTTATCGATAGATTTCTATTTATTTCTATTTTTAACCATCGGCGGGTGTGATCTTGAAAGCTGAAACGGTGAGATATACATCCTATATGTATAGAAGACAGTACATTAAGCTACCTATATAATATAAAAAGTGTAATGTGCTATAATCGTACGCACACCTGCAATCATAATAATATATTATATACACGCACATTACAGTTTTCGATATCAAAATACACATATATGATACACACTGAAAATTATTATTCATTCACTCACATTATTTTTTGGTTTTTTAAAGCTCGAATCTGTGTTTTGATCGCAACAGCTGACGGCGACATCCTTTTTTTTCTTCTATAGCCATATTTAAATTATAATGTATTACACTTAGGTATATACTCTTATAATAGAATATTTTAATTACAATAAAAAACTGTGATATAAGCAATAGCTATATAATATTTATAATATTATTATATCTTATTTATAATGAAACAAATAATAATACTATTTAATATAATATAATTTATGATTTAATAAAGTGTATTATACATTTGAAACTGTTAAAATAGTCGTTAATTTACTCTGTTATTATAAGAAACAATCATCTTGTCAGCAATTTTGTGAGATAAAATGTATTTAAAATATTATAGATTGATAAACTTAGCTAATAATATTAATAATAATTTATTATTATTTATTGATGATTATAGTTATTGGTATAAGTACTGATAATAATATACTAAATTTCAATAACTGCAGTGTAATAATAGAGTTTAACTAAACCATATACAGTTATATACCTAGTATTCAAAACGTTTATGTACGAATAACACTTTAATTACTCATAGGAATAATTAAACTATGCTATAATTACTGTATGTATCTGCATCTACAAAACATATTGGTTATTACTGCAGCTAGGTTCTTATAAAGAGGTTCTCGAAAAAAAAAGTTATCTAGATTTTGGGGTTCTTTAAAAGTATATTAGTCATTCATAAAAATATTTATATTTATATAACAATTAATGCCCCAATATTTGGACAGTGCCCCTAATTTATTTTATTTTTTTTAACATATTAATGTACATTCTAATTTATTGTAAATTAAAAACTGTAAATAGATTCAAGTTGTATGAGTACACAACATCAATGTGCTAATTTATAGACATACGTTTTGAAGTTAAAAATAAAATGATGAAATGACAATTACACATAAAAAGAACAAAACACAATACTCAAAAAAAAAAAAAAAAACTTAATTGTGTGATAATTTTAGTTAAATAATTATAAATGAATTCTCCTATTTCCCATAATATTTTGAATTCGTCAATGACCATGTCGATTATTGATACTAGTTGCTAGTTATCGTTCAGTTAACATTAATAATTAACTATTAAGTCGATCTTGATGTATAGTACTCCTTAATTATTTTTTACTGTTGTAAATCTAGAAAATTTGCAGGAACGATTTGAATAATTAAACTGAATAAGTTGTAGTACAGAGAAAAATCCATTAAATGATTTTATGTAATTGTTTGTTTTCATATAACTTAGCCACAAATGTATTAATTCATTATTAGTAACTGGTTGAGATTTTATTATACCCTAAAAAAGATTGGTTCGCCCCATGCGCACGCCTATATGTTGTCAGCATGATAAAGGTAGGTACTAGGTACTAATAATATTAAAAGTTAAAACTAACAACGTCTGTATATAGTTTGATGATTAATGATGACTGATGAATATTATAGGTGGTATATTGATCAATCTGTAATAGTGGTGTAATATATTATTTTTATTAAATATATTTTACGAGTATAATTGATTTCAAAATCCTTCAAAAGTTTAAACCAGTGTTCCCTAATTTTTTTTTTACTCAACACTCTTTTTAGGTTTTCAAAATTTTCAAAATTAAAAAACCCACTAGAGAATAGTTTGGTACCACCCTCGTTGGAAATCGCTGCTTTAAACGACGCTATTAATTATTAGACTACATTTTTTTTGTATATTTTGTATAAAAATTAAATATTTGACAGGATTGTATAATATACCATTTATTGAAGCTGAGAAATCGACATTACGGAATTTACGATATCAGATTATACAATATAGTAACAAGTAACAACAACATAACATAAATAATTATAAACTTCCAAACTACCGGGTATAATAATATATGCTTGATTTTTTTTTTTATCTTTTACGGCCACTCAACGTGGCAGCAGAGAGATTGTTTTTGGTGCAATAACCTGAGACGGATGAGATAGTTATTATTGTTATTATTATTATATTTTTATTAATCGCGTATAACGATGAAATATAGTATAATAATATACAGCAAAAGAAATGGGGTTTAGCGAATGCACTGAAGTTTTAGACACTGAAAAAAAGTAAAAACGTTCGAATATTATGTGCATACTGTCCCGAAAATATACTTGTACCATTGTTTAACATTGATTATTGCGCAGTTTTTTAACGTATTGCGTTATGTTTACGAAACAGATTTCACGACGATAAAGATATTATCATAATCACGGCCCAATTTTATTGTAGTCATTGTTTCGCGATCGCCAGTATTATGTCTGAATAGAAGGTGTAAACAATATGAACATTTAAATAAAAATTTGTTTTTAAGGTGACGTTATAATATATTTGATAACAGTATCAAAACGAGAAACAGCGTTCAAACTCGCATTCAAAAATAAACACAATAGATAATTTTTAAATAATAAGTAGGAATTAGGCACCTATAATATCAAAGTGCACATATTATAGGTAATGACTAATGATATAAATACATTTTTTACTTGACATTTAGGTATAAATGATTTTTTCATTGTTAATATTCTTATTATTTCAGTAATATTTATTGATCAACAATAGTCGCAAATGAATGATGAATGTATATATTTTATTTGTTATGCAACTTACAAACTGGTACTAGTTAATAGTTATAATGACGGATTTTCCGGGTTCATTGCAAAAAGTCGTTAAAATCGATTTCTATATATATTGTTGTGTACACAATATGTAATTATAGACTAGTTAGACTGTATGAGAGAGGTACATTATTATACAATAAAAAAAAAAAAAATTGATATACAAAACTTTGGAAATTTTTCTTATAATGTACGAATGTTAATAATTATTGATTATCATATCATGTTCAAAAATAAAATATATCACATTTCCGATATTGATTTCACAATTCAATTAATTTTACGAACGATATGATGGACTAAATAAATATGTTTGATGTGTTTTCTTAAATGATAAAGGTATTACTCTTACCATTTTTATTATTATTTTTTATTCAAAGATAATGTTACTTGGGGTGCCTAAATATTAATCGAATGCTCATATTTATTATTAGTTGTATATTTTATTTTACTCGAATTTATGAAAAGGTTTGGTAAATGTTAACCTAAGATCTAATAATTTTTATTTTTTATATGGTCGCTATGATTGCAAATTTGTTATTATTTCTTATCTGACCTTATTTTGATAATCTTAGTATATGATCAATATTAATAAGTAAAAGCACCCATGAACGTACCTGCAGGTATATTGTATTTTGTTATTTGGTGCATAATAGACAGTAGCTCATCGACCATCGTGCTTCACAGTTAACGGAAAAAATACGCTTACTTCAAATTCATAAATCAGATTAATTATTATGTATAGCCGTTTCATAGCAAATTTTGTTGTTTTTTTTCTATTCAGTAACAATAATATTAAGTTTCCAAAAAAATACGTGTAATTGTTTAGTTTTTTTTTTCACGATAACAATTTATTAAAAAAAAACGATTATCAAATGATTATAAATAAATAAAGTGGACAGTAAATCACAATTATAACGAAAATCATAGTAAGATAGATATTAATTGCCATTGCGTATTCGTATTCTACTTGTACTAAAGAATAATCATTATAATAATCATTGGTGTAACTAGACCGCATCATTAATTGATGGCAAAGAGGGCGCTTGAAAAAACAATACAAAAAAAAAAAAATGTTCACATTTAATTCTTGGAAGACAAAAATTAAAATATTAAAAATAAATAAAAGTATTTACGAATTAGCTATAATGTCTACGATTATCTAATTTTTTTTATACATTTTGGTATATTGTAAATATATACATTGCCATAATTTATTGGTATTAAAAGACGTTTCTCAACTTTTTTTTAGATTCGATACCGGTAAAGATGGATACTTAGACTTGGGAGAGTTGAAACGGATGATGGAAAAGCTGGGTGTTCCTCAAACTCACCTGGCACTCAAAGCCATGATCAAGGAAGTGGACGAAGACGGTGACGATAAGATAAGTTTTCGAGAAGTATGTATATACACCTATATAATATACACATATATTTATAAGTAATTACTTAGTGAGCATTACTATTTATGTTAGCATTTAAAATATTTCAAAGATACATAACTACCAAAAAATGATTGTATTAAATATAAAAATGTCGATTTATTAAGAAATATAATATACTCGTGTATTATTTATTATGAAACTTCTCAAATTTAACAACTATGCTTGCATATTATATTTTTATGTATATTTTAATATTTTAATAAAGAGACTAAAGAGTATAATAAATGTACTTGTACAACATTTAAGTTTTAAACGATTCCATAAATTGAAGTTTTTAGAAAATATAATCATTTGCTATAAGTTAGAACGATATTTTATAAGGAAGCTTAGCTGGTCTGTTTTCGGATACTATAAGCACTATAACATGGACAAAAGACGTTACCAGCCGTGGGCACGTCTGTAATAAAACGGTATCTGTAAATAATATAATACTGTCGGACACTCGACACGTTTTTATAATAATAATTATATTATATAAAGTATTAATAATATGCGTTTGAAAAATAAACACAAATAATTTAATAAAACTCTAACCAGTAACCACGCTAAAATGTTAAATTCTCTATTCTATACACACAATACATTATTATTTTAAAATTTTTGTCTGTATAAACTATAAGCTTTCCCATATTGTCTATATTACATTATAAAATAAATATTTTGTTTTCTGTTAATAATTTAAAACGAAGAAAAAAGTAGTATTTTATTTGAAATTAAAAACCTAGTAAAATAACACATAAAACATTACCTATTACGTAACATACTTTTATATGAATAATTTCTGTCTATACATAAATGTCTATAGATAGCCAGTTAGGTGTATAAATGCGTTTGTTTCTTTTTTTATACCATGTTTATTTTATGCATAAATGTTGTAATTCTCTTCTCTATGACGAGACAACAATAATGATCTATCGTAACAATTGTATAGTGCATAGTAACTACCTTTCTATCTAATAAATGCGATGTATATATATAAGAGTTTATGAAATTTGGAGGTTTTATAAGACTTTCTCCGCGGATGCAGCTTGTTTGAGTTCTATTGGGATAACATTTATGTATTATGACATTGCGTAGTATTAAAGTTAACATTATCTGATGAGAGTGATAAAAAAAAATAAAAATTAAAATATAATTAATTTTATTTCTTTTATTTGTTCCACGCATACCTGATACTAACACGGAGTCAAAGCAACATAATATATAATATAATATTACGTGTGTATACAATAAACCGTACATATTTTCATAAAAACTAAATCAATACAAACTTAAAAATTAAAATTATATCCAAAATCGATTAATTGTTCACAAAATGCACAGGCCATCATTATGGTTTGTTTAATTTTTGTTAATTTACTAATAAAAATACTCAAGACCTGTAATCTAAATATGCAATCCCTTCATTCTTTGACATAATAGGGGCCCATGTTCTGCAAGTGCGAGCTAAGAGAATTCATGTTAAATTATGATTTTAATAATTCTCAAGAAATAAAATTTTAAAATTAAGACATGCAATGAGCACATGGTTGAATATTAAGAAAAAAAAGAACATCGTATATATTTATAATTTATATGTATACATCTTTAAGCCGATTTTTTGGAGACAATTTCACGACATAGAATTGTATTGCGAGTGTTTATAGCTTTGTATAATTATCGCTCTATAAATAAAGATAAATAATTACATCTATAGAATTACTTACGTAGGTAAAATGCAAATTAAAGGTAATATAGCAAAACTTATTTTATTTTCATCAAAGTTCCGTATTAGACGAGCAATATTCCAACAGCTATGTTATGTTACACAGCTTAACCTACTTACTGCGTACAATTTTGTGTAAATAAAAACATATATCGATTATTATGTCATAATTGTTTCATGTTTGTGTACAGTTTTTGCTGATCTACCGCAAAGCGTACGACGGTTCGTTGCCCCTGGACTGCGGCCTCAACGAGCTGGCTCGACTGACGGAAATCAACGTTGACGAAGTCGGCGTGATCGGCGCCAAAGAGTTTTTCGAGGCCAAGGTATATAAAACGATCGAACAGTTTTGCGTACACAATTAACTATTTATATTTGATTATAATTGATATTATTGTTTGTTACTGTTATGCTAAAATGCGTTCCGCACATATTTGCAGATCGAGTATCAAGGCATAGCGAACCGGTTCGAGTACGAACTACGACAGGAAATAGAAGAGAAAAAACGATCAGAGGACGAGATGTCCAAGCGTAAAATTGCGTTCAAGGAGAAGACTGCCATTTTTCAATAACTCCTTCGGGAAAACCATTTCTCCCCCTCCCCCAATTTAATTTCCTATTTAACTACCCTCACGGCGACGATTGTGTATAATACCTAACCTATATATTATTATTGTGTATAATATATTTTTGATGTTAAGGTTTAACCTTAAATATTAATTTTTTATAATCATCATTATTTATTATTTGAAAACTCACTACACCTATACCTATATATTATAATTTATACATTAAGTACGATCGATTATTCTCTGAAATCGTTTAGGAAAATTGTTGTTTTTATTATTATTATTATTATTAATTTTGTCGTAATATTATTGTATAATTTTGTTTTGTAAATGTTCTTTATACAATTTACGCCTGTAACTGAATTTTAATAAAATGTAAAATATGTAAGTATTTAGTATAACCTACAATAATCATGTTATTTTTAAAGCTGCGATACGCATGTATACGTAGTAATAACTATAATGAGTGTTTTAAACAACATTCATTGGTTTTTCATGCGATTAAACTATAAAATTACGTACCTAAATAAACAATAAACAGTTATAGTAACACTGCTAATTTCCAAGTATCGTATGCATAACTATAAATTCAGTAATCTGCAGTGTGATTATGTGCAAACGTATTGCTACAGAGTATAGGTATTACTATAGAATTGCATAATATATAAAATAATTCTAAGATATCGCGGTAACTAGACGATTTAATAAGAGGAAAGATAAAAATATAGGAATAAAAAAATGGAAAAATATACCCTACTTTGTAGATTATGAGTAAAAATGTATCGTAACTACTGTATAAATAATATAGGAATGGGGCATTTGGGTTTAATCGTTTTGACGTGAGATATTTGTTCTTGAGCGATAATAGCCATAAGAAATATTTTTTGTACTTGTGTACAAAAATTGTAGAAAAAAAATAATTTTAGTCTTATGAAACAATTTCGGTTTCTGATTAGGCAAACTGGATCTAGTTGATACTTTTGAGAGGTAAAAAATTCTCAGCATTTTTAAAATATTCAACAAAAAAAAAAAAAAAAAAAATGTGTTAAAATTCAGTTATAATTCATAAAATATTAATCATAAAACTTAAAATATTCCACCGACACTAAAATTATTATTTTCTAAACCGATGAAATTTCTTGAATATTTAGAAAAACTTTAAGCTGTTTATATTCTATAGGCATTAAAATTTTTAGAATTGTTTTTAATGTTGATAAAAAAATTAAGTCTTTGTTTAAAATTATGCAAACGTAATACAAAATCGTACAAACATTTTTCTTATAGCAATATAAAAATATTAATAACTCGTATGGACAATTTTCTTTTTATTAACGTTTTTTCAATGTTCAAACTTTGATAAAATTCGTAAAAATTTCCAAAATATTTTATAGATTAAAATTTATAAAATGTTAAATTTTATAGCTAAAAATATAATAAAATATTCCGCATGAGTAATTATTACTAAATTCAAAAAAATCTTTAAAATATATACCAGCGGTTTTTTTTTTTTTTTTGAAGACATTTGAAGTTAAAATGTTGATGAAATTAGATATTTATACGAAAAAAATACAATTTTAGTTATTTTGATGTAATATAAAAATATTATTCTTGGGAGCTTAAAACTTTTACGTATATTTATAATTGTATAATGATATTTTCAATGAATCATCAAAATTAATTTAAAGGTATTGTCAGTTTATATTATGAACCTATTATATAATAGAGCGATATTTTCCATGATTTAAAAAAATTGTCTTACCATAAACGAACGCACTGGTAAACGTCAAAAACTGTAGTGGAAATTTTTTTAAATTTACTATTATATTATTGTGCTTCATATAGAACGAGCTTCTACTGACATAGATACAAATAACAGAAATATTGTTATGAGTAAATATTCAACTTTTGAGAAAATATGTTATTCTCTGCAAAAAAAAAAAATAATAACTTTGAAGGATCTAAATCTTCGCTACAAAAAATTTTGCGTTCCTTAAATTTGATATATAAAAAGTTTAGTAATTTTCGACAATTTTAAAACGGAGACAAAATGTGTACTCTACGTTTTAATAGTAACACGGCGAGACCTGTTATTTATTTGGATCAGATTCTGGTGAACCAGTACCATTCGAGAAACAGTCTTAGAAAAATGAATAGTTGTGAGGGTTTAGAGTTCCATCCGGTAAAGGAGGTCATCTCGTAGTATAATGTCATGCTGAAGCAGTTAAATTTGGTTTTATTGCTAGTCTAAATTAGTATTTAGAAGTAAAAATGACGGTGATTACTATTCACTAATGGATAGTGAAATATTTCGTAGTTGGTTTGAAAATATGCTGAAACTTTAAGAGGAGCCACATGTGTAATCGTTGTGGACAATATTTCACATCATAGCGTACTGGTCGAAAACGTATCAAAGTCGAACACGAGAAGAGCTGACGTTCAAAAATGGCTGATAAAGGTACCGAATTTTCTCAGGTAGAAACTTTAGCTGAACTCGGAGAAAATTTTAAAATTGCAAAACCACGAGAGAAATAACGCTATCAGTTGGATGAGCTGTGGCTTATAAAATGGGTCATAAAGTGGTCAGACTTCCGCCTATTACTGTCAGTATAATATCATCGAATTGATCAGGACACAGGTGAAAGTTGAGGTGGCTTCTCAAAAATACCACTATAAAAATAATCGATGTTGAAAAACTTATGAACGAACTAACGAAGCCATAGATGTAATCACTCAAAATAATTAGTAGTAAAGTATACGTATATGACATGCAGAAAAGTCTTGAACACCGACTACGAAAAAAGTTTTGGTATAAAAATTATTTTAGATTTTTTCATTTTTGTATTTGTTTGTACATTGTATAGGTATCTACTTATTATTATTGTTTATAATATTATTACTTAATAAATTATTATTTTTATTAGGAGTGTATACAATAATGATTTTTTTTTTTTTACAAAATATTATTAAATACATGAACACCTACATAGTTCATCGTAATTTTAAGAGTGTCTGCATAATATGTTTTAAAATATTAGCAGGAAACAGTTTACTAATTCATCGACAAGAAATTTGTATTCTGCGGTTAGAGATAATTTGCCATTTATATATCACTTGTCTACGACTTCTCGTCAAATTATGTAGATATTGTTTGAAAAAAACTATAAGTGTTTTTATCAAAGATTTTATCAAAAAAAAAATTTCATCGTCGTTTTGAATTTTTCATTTATAATCGCTATAAATCCCCATAATTTGACAAGAAGTCGTGGACAAGTGATACATGTAAATGGTAAATTATCTCTAACCGCATAGTACAAATTTTTGTAGTTTAAAATTAACATTTTAATATCATCAGTATTTATTGACAAACACCTCGAGATTAATAATTATTATGTAGCGTTATTTACAAATGTTTATATTTTTAAATGTACTGATGTACACTGTTTCGAGATCCAAATCGTCCATTTTCAGTGTTTCGACACATCTTTAACAATTCAACTTTATTCACAAAGTCTGGTGTTTCTTCGATAACAATTTTAAATGTTTTTTCAAACGACTTTTCAAATCCTCGATACCGAAATCAAATTGGCTACTGTCTTATTTTAAATTTTTGATCATCGATTAGTTTTAATAGGTCTTCTCTTTTTTTCGTAAACGTTTGGAACATTTCTTTTAGCTCAACATAAAGTGTACGTACCATTGGGATCGATGATTTTTTTCAAACCCTTGTACACGATTTATATGTTTCTATTATATTTTTCATATACAAAATAAATTTAGATAAAATAGCTTAGGTGTTAAATACTAAACTCAAACATTTTTAAATAAAAAAAAAAATTAACATTAGATTTTAATTAATTTGAAAAAAAGTTAAAAAATTGGAAATTTTTAAAAATTAATATTTTCTACGTTTCCCGGCAAATTAAATTTTTGCTCTAAAAAACAAAATAGTATACAAACCCGTAAACACCCATGTAAAATATGTCAAAAATAATAAAAATAATAAAAAAAAAATAAAGACATTTTTATTTAATTATGTATAGTTTGCGTAGTTAAAAAATGGAAAATATTCGATAAAAATACAATGCTTGAAATATTATAATTAAAAAAATTCATCGATATCGGTGAATTGCGAACAAACAATTTTTGCAATATTACTGTTTTATTCGGATTAACATTTGGCTATCATTTAACAAGACTAGTTGCCTTTACAACTTAAAAAAATGAGCCTTTTCTTAGACGGACTACATGAAAATATCAGTTTTTTCGTGTTATGTTTGTTTATAAGTATATATGTAATTGGTTGTCGGCGCTAAAAATTACGAGACCCCGTGCAAAATAGTTCAAATTTAATAACATACAAAATTATTATTAAATATATACTCTTTTACTTCTTAGTTTGAGTAAATTAAATAAAGATATTGAGATCCCAAAATAATATCGGCATGACGACATTCGACATGGTCTACTTAAACTCTTTGGTTAATCACTTTACGTTGGATACCACGAAAATGCCCATAATTAACTAAATTAAAAGATGCTATCGACCATAATATGGTTAAACATAATAAAATTTTTTTTATTTTAACATGTCATTATGTAAATAACTAGTATTATTATATATACAATGCATTTAGTACTGTTCCCTAGGCTATTATCAAACTATTATTAATTCAACTGTTGTTTGTAGAACGTAATATTATAATTAATAATGTTATCTTTTCTAAACTATAATATTTAGTCGCTAATGATTTGTTTTTCTGAAGTGATCTCCGCTTCCACGGGGCCCTGTGCAGGTGCACCGGTTGCACTGCCCTCGCTCCGGCCCTTAATTATTATTTGATTATAAGTCTTAAACAAACAAGCTACTTTGTACTCAAAATCATTGAAATTCGTTACTTATAAAGAGATAAGATCACGTGTTACACAAGTTTTGCGCTCTTGTGTCGTACATTGACGCGATGCACATCCAAAAACGCACCGATAATCAATCGCGATCAAATCACGAACAACATAGATGCCGTTTCCCCGCCACCGTTATTTCATCACAATTTTTCACATCATTCTTTATTTTTTCTCACCGGTCACAATCTATATTTAACAAAAACACCAAATACCTATTGCAAGTAAAAAATCTCAAGAAAAATCTAAAAATAATTTGAACACTCAAAAATCATCAGGAAAATATTTAAAACGTCAAAATTCACATTTCAAGATACCAATGTCAATGGACCCGTAAACTACATATAAGACCGTCGGAGCCACCACCAATACACATTCTCTCTCTCTCTACTCTACACTTATTCCCGAAGCTGGTCAACAGTACATTGGAAGGCATTAAACGACCTTCATACGGTAATACCGAGCGATCTTAGAGCTACCAGACTAACTATAGTCGCGACGAACTAAGATGCCCATTTGAGGTTCACTTCAAGTTGGGGACAACACTCGGTTAAACGAGGCGTTTGTCGTATATTCTACCATACATTACTACATACGTGTAATATAAGTACGGTAGAATTTGCGATCCACTATTAGTACATACCACCCCGTGCATTTCAAACTTTTCAACGAAAACGTGTGCAAGGAAGAAGCACCAACATCTTAACACATACGAAACCAAAAAAAGCTGAAGCCTGATCTATATTGTAAGTCACCATAAAATATTTCAACCCATACAATTGTTATAATCCCTTTTTTTTTTAAATTGTATTAAACTGACAATAAGTCAGAAAAGAAAAGAAAATAATGTAATATAAATTAATATATGTAAAAAAAAAAACTATTGTACAAATAAAAGCTAACGTTATATCAAACAAAACATTGAAGATTTGAATTTCGTTACATACTCATGTACAGAAGTCAGAAGATAATTGTAAATTACGCAGCCACGCTCTAATAAATTGTAATAAAAACTAATGTCATACAATCAAAAATATATTATTAATCCTTCAGGAACAGAATAATGATTTTAAAAAAGGCGTTCTATTTTAATGGAAGCAACCTAACATTCACGCGCGTATGTTAAATTGAAATAACCTTTTTTTTTTCTAAAAAATATTACATACGTCATGACAGAAACGTATAAATATTGGCTTGTAACGTATTAATATAAAATGAATTAAACACAACGACGTTCAGATTCATGTCGTAGTGCCCAAGTGGGTTGCCGGAGACAATCGTGAAGCCAACATAAAACAATATTTACACAGAACAATACGCAATACATTGAGTCAACATATAGATAATAAAAATAAAATTTAAATGATTACTTTATTATATCCTATGAACCCAGGATGTTGCTAGGCAATGTTGTGTACCGCGTCGACTTTTACCGAGTACAGTTCTCGCGGTATTGTGATTAGGTTATTGTAAAATAGTAAAATCGGTAACCACTAACTAAAATAAAAAAATAAATATTTTTACGAGTGATATTAATATAGTTAACGTCGATGAATTCGCACAGTTGAATAAAACATAATATAAATGTATAAAAATCATTTTATAACGTAAGTAAATAATCTTTCGAATATACAATTTACGATCTCTAAGCAATAATACATCTGAAACGCAGTAAGTTTTTATTTTTTATTATACCAAAAATATGGAGCATTTATTAATCAACACACCCCTTCTAATAAAATAATATTTCAGACTTGTCAAATTAAGTATATATTGGTTTGGTTTGTCGTTGTTATTATGAGATATTAGATTTAGGAAAATTTACATTACTCTATAAAATATACCTGCAAAAACGTAAAATTTAAATAATAAACAGTCTCAGTAATGTTTTAACTAGTAAAAATTAAAATAGAAGATAAAGATTCTCAATTATTAAGTAAAATAAAATAAATCTCCTTTAAATTATCTATACATTCAAAATTCATATTTATTACTATGTATTTTCTCCTCTTATAGACTTTTGGTAATAGATATCCCCACTATGTACGTAGCTTACACACAATATATAGGCTATAATAAATTATTTATTTTTTTATTGGTCAAGGCACGTGGTTCTTCGATCGTTTAAGTTACCTTTTTCTTTTATAATTCGAGTACACAAGTATAAAAAATATCTCATATGTCTTATCGCGTTATACTCACTTTTACTAACTCTTCTAAACTTATAAATTATTTAAAAATAATATATTACCTTTAGATCAATAGTTGTCACTTCAGCAGTGATAAATATATTCAAAAGCAAGGTGTTGCTATTTATATTGTATTGTTTATTATAAATTTTTTTACAAAATATGCATTATTTTATGTCACACAGAAGAGCGACACCTCTAGATATCCAGTGAGCTTCTAACGTGTCCTTTGGCGACTTGAGACGTAATTCGCACACGTACGTTAATCCTGTTCTTGATGGCTTTTTATATACGGGACACTCGTAGCCGGGCATTAACTTGTTTCCGATTGTATTTATCGCATATATGTGTATGACGGGCATTTCTGTAAACATGATCTTATGGAGCGACTCTTGCAGTTCCTTCTGTTTCCTGTTCCAACTTGCCCCGTCCAAGAACAGTCCATATACATAAACGCCTTCCTGCGGGTCGGGCAAAATGGAAAAATATTAATGATTGGTGGGCTGGTTATTAACTTATTGTGTTTACCTAGTTTTTTTTTTTTTTGTCCGCAATACCCTTTTAGCACAGTAAAAAATCCTAATGGCTAATACTCTTAAAAATTATCATGTAAAACAAAACCAATATTGATGAATGACGGGAATTATTTTTAAAACCAGTTTTCGAAAAAATTGATTTTGTATTTTGTAACTGTATTCAGGTGCGTACTTGCCCCCACCAGCCACCTGGAAAATCCCGGAAGACCTTCTGATTATAAGTATTAGGCCTTCCCCATATAAGTACCTTTTTTCAGTTAAATTCAGTAGTTTTATTATTTTTAACATTTTTAATTAATAACCATTAGCTATTATAGTGTGGTAATAGTGGTAATATGATAACAACGTAAATGTCCCTGCTCTAACTGAACACTATGCTATTTGTGTATAACTATAAGAAGTCTACCTAATATTACTTTGTAACATGTTTACAAACACTGCTGTACAAATTTATTGTAATGCAATACAAACAAACCGCTAAGCGGTCGAATATTATTTATTCGCGGAGTGACGACGCACACCAGCAACGTCGTATAGGTAATGCGACTTATATTAATTGTTCGTGAATATTTAAATATTACCCAATGATTTGTTTCTATGTTATTAATCTTCCACTAGGGAAAATATCAATTAAATATCGTAATGAATTTAAATGGTACAAAATATCCATAAAAAACTAATGTATACCCAATAACAGATATTATGAGTGGAAATGAAGGAAGACACAGCTTTGAATCATAATATTTTATACTTACCAGTGGTGCCTTTTTAACGTCTTGTTTATAGTACAACGTTACTTCGTTCTCGAGCACGATGTTGTCCAGTGTCCAGCCTTTGTGGGCTCTGGATATTTCTTGTTTCATCGCCGTGAGGAATCCCTGTGGGTTAAAGAAACCCGTCATCCAAAATTGCGCCGGTTTTTCCCTGAACACCCACGTCGTGATTTGGCTGTGTCGGTTCAGCAACTCGTTAAACCAAAAACCGATAGTCGAAGAAGTCCAAGAGGCCCTTAGCCAGTGTGTAGGGATGCGACCATCGTACAAATCATCCAATGTTTCAGACAAAACCTACAGTTACAAATCGTTGTATGTTATTATAAAATACGCAATAGAAGAAACTAGAATAGATTAAAAAAAAATAAATAAAATAATTTTCAATAGTCATTATATTTAAATATTTCAGTTAAAATTTTAAGTACTGAATTAGTATAAAAAAATTATATTGCTCAACACAATTCGTGTGAGTATTATACTCACTAATGCTTGAAAATTGTTAATAACACAATTTATCTACACGGGTGTTTTGATTAGTATTTAGAGTATAAAAATATTACTGCAATAATTTCTTTTTTTCTTTTTGACAGAAATAATTAGTATATTATTTTTTAATATTTATTTCAAAGGTTTTTTTCTTATATTTTAATCTTGTATTACAAACATTTTTATAAATTAAAAGGCCAAATGTTAACAATTGAAAACAAAGGTAGACGACTTGGAACTTAAGTAAATTTAGTATGTATATACTAATATACTACCCTCATTCACATAACTATTGTAATCAATTTACTTCGTTCATAATGATTATTCCATCAATTGCTAATAAAAGATCTTCCAAAGTATTTTTTACTATTTTGGTAACCTTTTGGATACGATCGATTTCTTGTCCTAAGAATATGTTCATAGGTTGCGTCGGACCCATCAACGTTAATCTATTATAATTCGGAAATATTTATTTGTGTATTATAAACAATTGCATTTTTAATGTTATCATTATAATTATTAAAAAATATTTTAATTTATAATTACCTTTCTTTGATGGTAAACATGTTGAAAGCAAGCGGTAGCTTGTCCAGCAAATCCGAACTCGTATTGTACACTTTTTCTTCACGGGTCACTTCATTACCACCGCTAGAACCTTTTGGCTGAATCATTATAATAGTATTAAACATTTCTTGAACCATATTAGTTTGGTATCTAAAAACTTATTGGTTATTGCAAAATATAGATAATATTTTATTGGGTTTATTTATATATATATCATATTATCATAATATCATGTACTGATGACATTCAATGCTCACGTAATATCGGTGTTTGGGTGAAGTCCACATGCTTGTGGAGGATCTTTCAGAGGCATTTCATCGATCGCTGATAGATACTCAGCTAGTTTATTAAAAACCAACACGTTGTATCCTTCGTAGAAACAAAACTGTTTGCTAAATATTTCGTTGGTAAACCAAAGTTTGGTAAAATTGTTTAATAGTCGTCGGTCATAATCATCGGTTACACGGCCGCCGTAATGCACTTCGGCTAACATGTATCTGTAACCGTAATACATCGTAATGTTAAAATAATTTCAACGTCATATAAAAAAACCACTTAATTGGTTTTATTCGAATGATACTAATTAGTATTAATAGCTAGTAGCGCAAGTTTATCTCTAACAAAAATCTATACTCCTTAGTAAGGAGAGTATTTGAACGTAAAAATTATTTTTATTTTTGTTGTGTGCTCTAGAATAATAGCAAGATAGATATAGAAAAACTTAAATAAACACGTGAGCAAAATATTTTAATTACCTAATTATTTGTATCTGTTAACAGATAAGTTTTTAATGGTATTTTACTAAATTTATTATTTAGAATGTTATTTATAAGATCCTTGACCTAGTAATTTACCTTAAAGCGACCCAGTTGATTTCAGAGGTGGATTCCATGTCGTCGACCATTTTTTGTAAGTATAAGGTCGATGAGTACCAATCCGACGTGTTGAATTCGTATGGTATATTCCAACCGACAGGCCCAAACTTTCTACGCTCTTGAACGACCGAATGGAGAAAGGAAATTACATACAATATCGGTTTATATTGCATTATGCTGGAGTAGATCAATGTGTCATCTCCCATATTGATAAAAGTTCTCATCAATCCGGCTCTTAATCCTAAATATACATTTGTAATTAAATACATAAATAACCTAGTGTATAACATTTCCCCGACGAGTTATTATTGAATTTTAATTTACTGACATATTTCATTCGTTCAAAATTGTGAATAGTAAATAAAATTAATTAATTTTCTACTTGAATTATTGGATATTAAAATTTTATCTCGTAAGTTATTTAAGAAATTTACTCTTAGGTGTTTTACCTTCTGGAGGTTCATACGTAAAATGTATTGATATTTGCAGAAGTGATATAGAGAATTTGGGATGCACTTCTGTAGTTATCCATATTCTAAAGTTTTCTTGATTAGACTTGGCAACTTGTGTGTTTATATATGTAAATGTTTCTTGCATAAAATTCAAACACAAATGACAATTTTGAAGTAATACCCATCCACCCTAAATAGATATGTCACGTATATTAAAAATCTATGTAGATAATATAGGTAATATAATTTTTTTTTGCAATATATACATATTAAATAGTAAATACTCACATTGGCTGCACATTCCTTCATTAATCTCTCGGCATGTACTTCTTGTCCTTGACCCATAGACACGGAATAGAACGGTATTTCTAATTTTTTTGCAGTATTTTCTACAAGGTTACTAGGATCAGAACCCATACTCAGGAAACAAATCATTGGCGTAGTACTTTTGGATTCGAGATACATCTCTTCAATATCGAACATCACAGTTTCTATGAATTGAGACCCTAGCGATTCTTTGATGTAGGCAAATGCTTGGTTCATCGTCCTGTCCGGACACCACGCTCTCACCATTAATAGCCTTTCGAACACGTCGAGCCTGTCAAATCCATCTGGCATTTTTTCTTTTTCCGGACTGCTTTTCTCGTACCATTTTTTCCACGAGCTTCCATTTATTTCAACCGCGGTCAATATTGATTGGAACGGCGGAATGGTTTGCAATAAACCTAAGTTCATCCAACAAATATCAGTCACCCAATCAAATGGTTTAGGCTTGATGGAAGTTATATCAACCGAAGCGCCACCCTTGATAAAATATTCAAACTGGTTTCTAGTGATTTTCCCTCTTTCCAGATCTATTTTGAGTGTCATGAGTATAGTAAAAAGTATTTTGTGCTTCTCATATAAACCACGGCACTTATATTTGTATATAGCATAAGTCAAGTATTCAATGATGTTGTTTATTCTGCGTTCGAGCAAAACAGTTTTTTCGGAGTTTGATAACGATATATCAAACTGTTCTAAGAACTGTTGTAACGAGTTCTGATACATGGGATTTACCATTCCCATTTCTACGATTAAAAAGTATAGAACTGAACCTCGAGTGGCAATTGGACGGTACTGTTCACGCATTACACTTATTGAAGCTTGTGTTTTGTTCGCAACCTCTATCTTTTCACTGACATCAGTAGCCGTATCCTTGGTTTTATTCAAAGTATATAAAACCGATTCGTCGTCTACCAATGACCCTTTTACAGTAGTTAATTTTATCAGAAGGTCGTGTTCTAACTTCAGCATTTTTCGTTTTTGAGAAGTCACTTCGGCAATTAATTCAATACGCTCCTGTTCTAATTCTTTTTTCTCGATTTCGATTACTCTACTTAATAATTGATCTTCCAATCCTTTAATGGTTACAGTAAAATCGATGATTACACATTTGGCATAGAGTTCCGGAGGATACGATGGATTTCCAAGTTTTGAAGTAAGATATAATCGAAAATCTTCACTCACGTCGATTTCTTTATCTCCTAATAATACATTCACAAATTTACCTTTTACGTAATAGTTTTTTTCTAGAACGTTATTTATTATCGGGTCGACATCTTGCTGTAAATCGTGGATAAGTAATGGTTTTCCCAGTGATAAACTATCTTCAAGATAATTTCTAAAATATTTATCATCAAAGGTAGTAACAACCATATTATTTACCGATTCTTTATTTTTAATCCAAGCTATTCCTTGACTCTGTGGATCTATCATAATTGGATATTTTGATGATTTTGTTACAATAATACCGTTTTGAATTGATAGTTCGTCGTTTGGCAATCCTTGGAGATTCCATTCGCTAATAGTTGGAGGATCAGCTAATTTTTCAGACACATTCAGATTTGGGGAATTTGGAATGCTCTTTTCGTTCAATTGATCATACCACGATTGCAAAATGTTCGTTCTATATTCTTGGTTGAATGGTCCAGAATAATTTAAAAATGCTGTCAGTATGACGATATCTCCTAATGAATATTTAATTTCCAAATTAAAACCCGCCAACTGATGTTTCCATCTCTTTCTTTCTCCTTCTAAACCTTCAATAAGTGCTGTTGCCGACGTCATTTTATTCTTACATTTATTTGCTTCAGTTTGAATTAGTTGCTGTGAACTTAAAGCTGCATTTAACTTTCGTTTTGCTTCCAATAACTCCTTATTTTTTTCAAAAGCTATTGTCTCCGCAGCTTTTAATTGCTCTTTAGCTTGGATGTGTTTACCTTCTTGTTTTGCTAAATTCGAAATCAATGGAAGTACTTCTTTGTTTACATTATAGAAATCTGACATGGCCAATGTCCAACTAAGAAGTCCGGCTACATTTCCACATGCCAATTTCGCTTTTTCAAATGTATAGTCTTGGTACTTGAAATATGGTTGCAATAGATCAATTGTTTCTCCATTGATCTGATTTTTTGGATAGTTTTGAAGGTTGTGTAGAAATCTTGTGTCAGACATTAACTAAAATAAAATAAATTATCACTTAAGTATTAATCTTACCGTTAATAAAATATGTGGCAAGTTGAAGATTTACTTTTAAAGATTCCTTCCAATTGGGTTCTAAAAACATTTTGGTTGTATCCAATATGACTTTCAGTAATTTTCGTTGAAAAAATATGAGTACGGAATCCATAATCATTGTAATTAAGTAAGGTGGCTTACCCAATTTCCGCACGGTAGCTATATCAGTTGCTGTTAGAGTCTGGAAATTAATTTTTTTTTTTATTGTTGTAGATACTAAACATTCTAATTTAATTATTTATTGTATGTTTAATAGAGGAAAAATGAATACCTATTGTAAGATTTTAAAATATTTTTATGATATTTAACCAAGTGTAATTATTAATTATACCAATAAAGCTGCTTCTGCAGCATCTAAAGCTGGTTTAGCTTTAGCAAGTTTTATTTCGGCGATCTTTTTTTCTTTTGAAATGCTCTTTAATAACAACTCGGCTCGATCTTTCACGACGGCTACTTCCGCTTTACTTATTTCAGCAGCTTTAACCACGACGTTGACTTTAGTTGTCACCTGTGTGAGCCGATTTATAAGTCTAAAATATTATGTATCGAAAATATTAATCTATGTCTTTAGAACTCTACCTCTGTACTGGCTTCTGTTGCGATGGCCATTTCTTTTTCTTTTTCTGTCAGTTCTTCTTTCAGCCTTCCCACTTGAATCGAGGCGTCGGCAAGTTTCTCTAATCCCAAAATTCTTTGCATTTTCATTTGCTCAATTTCATGTATATTTTTTACATACAAAATCTTGTAGTCATTTACAAACGAAAGGAATGACTTTGGTGTTACAAATATTTTTCGACGAAACCTTGAGAGAAGGATTAAATACGCTGATTGGCGGATAACTTTACATTATATGGTTGTTAATTATTATTATTATGTATGATTTAGTATTTTAAAATTATAATATATTACAACTGACAAAAATATAGATGCAAGTAGGCTTTTGAAAAGTATGGTTATATAAGTTATAACACACTAGTTAGTTAAAAAATTATTATAGTATAATACACTGACACTTACCTTTGGAAGTAATTCGTACAATCTTTTGCAACATTATCGTGTATAATTCCAAGCAATTGTATTAATGATGTCTTTTCCTCTATTGTGCCGACCACAGAGAAGTCATCTAGAAAATAATGAGATACTGCTAGTAGTGCATCTGCGGGCCAAGCAGTATACCAATCAATAATACAACCAGATATAATACCGGGAAACTTTAATGAACGTAAACGAAAACTTTCACCAATCTATAAACAAAAAAAAAAAAAATTAATATAATTCAATTCACTTTGTTTTCGTTGACACTTTTAAGAGTCGAATTTAAAAGGCCGCTCCAAACCTAACTATTTTATAACCATAAACATAAGTAAATCTATGTTGAAAATTAAAACATAAAAACTTGTTTTTATTAAAACATTACAAGTAAATGTGTTTCAATGTTAAATATTAAAATTAACTGTATCGTTTATGAGGAATATTAATTAATTTACTGTGTTTTTCATACAGTGAAAAAATTACACACTGACTTAAGAAGAGGATTTATTAGTTTATATATGCTTACTGGTGAAAAACATAAAACTAAATGTAAATTGTTCATAGCTTGTTTAATGAAAAATTGATACAAGTTGTCCATTGATGGATTTCCTCTTGGTGATTTCTTTTTAAATAACGGAGTTATACTGTTCAACATTTCTTCAAGTTCATCTTTGGGGAACAAATTAGCCACTTCTCCTGAACTCAGTATGTTATTAATATATTCAAGGAAAGATTCTTCTTTAATATCGTTATCAGTGAATATGAATGTAGTTTTCATATCTTCAATTCCAGCGAATCTATAAAGTATTCTGATATCGTCCAAGAAATTATTGACATTATATGATCTATAAATTTTAAAATAAACAGTCGGTTTTATAATTAAAATGTATTAAATATTCAATGCATGGACAATCAAATAATAAAAAATACTATAAATCACCATAATAATTTATGAGTATTCAATAATAACCTTGTTAGAAAGATTGAATGTTGTTTGTATTTAGCAATATATGATGCCAAAGTGGTTACTGATCTCCGACCTGAACCTCCGACGCCTACAAGTAAACCGTTTCCACGAGGTATCCTCAGTATACGAGATATGATAATCAGATGTACCATACAGTCTCTGAAAAAGACTAAATCTACTACAGTACCACGAGTCGCTTCTTTCATCTGACCCATAAACATCAGCATTCTATTTTTTAATACTTCAAAACTATAAAATGTAGAATAAAAGTGATATTAAAAACTATAGTTTAGTATTATATTATATTAATATTATTTATTCTAAAATATGTATTTTAAAAAAAAAAAACTATGTAGATATTTTGTACGTACTCTTCAATGTTCTCGTAAATATTTGGCGTCTCGGGTACAAAGTCGTCGGGCTCGTCGCCAGTCGGGTCAGCCATGTCCCGCATAAAATCAACAAAGACTATCGTTTGCATATTAGTCGGCATCATTTTGTAGCTCTCGCGGCCAAGAAACTTTTCAGCCGAGGATTGAATTGTCTTCAAAAACCAGTCTTTATCCTGTGTGCTGGTCAGCTTGTCATAGATAACGCGCTGTAGTTCGTGGCACCACAACCGCAACAGCATCCGGACGTCCGGGCACTCGGCAGAGCATACCTGCAACATACCTTCCCAGATACGGGACAGATCACGCAGGTTGAACACGTAGTGGAAGTTGGCCGGAGTTGGTAATAGCTTTTGCTTGGTCTTCTGCCACACGATTCGGGTAAGTGTTACCAGGCTGGGTAAGAACCGCACGACCTGATCATTAAACCGCTCCATGCAAAAGTATCCACAACCTAATGCTCCGAATATTTTGTCCATGGACGTGTTTGATGGTAACGTGCAGTTGAATATACAAAACTGCCGCTTAAGCCGGGGCGGCACGTCATTTCGGCCACCGCCTGGATGTATCATGGCGCCTAGCATATTGACGCCCACGATATTGACGTAGTCACCAGGTTTGGTCAGAGAGTAAAATCCCTTGTTTTCAAGAAGCTGGCGCGTAATCTCGTTCGTCACCTGGTCAGGTACAAATTTAAAAAAATCATGTATAAAATACATTGTACATTTGTACAAGATTGTTGTGATCACTATACTATTATTTTAACGTGTTTTAATCTGCCATCTTGAGCACTTATACAAATTTTGGTTCACTGAGAAAAAATATTAAGATCTATTCAAATCCTGATATTAACAAAAAAAAAAAAAAACAGATGGAAAACGTTGAATTTTTTTATGAAATTATTTATCAGGCCATCTGTTACAGAGTTGAATAACACACTTATAACCTATGACATGAAACCGCTTATTGCATATTATGCGGCTGTTCCAGTACCGCGCGTATTGTCAATTATAGTTTTTCATGCATCCTAACCACAGTACCTTTTAAATATACAAATAGGTTTCTAAAATATTTTAGTTTTTTTTAGTAAATTAAGTCTTTATTTAAAAGACGTGGTAATTAATTTAATGATATTATGGACTTCTGAGACGAAAAGGCTATACTGTTTGGGACGATTAGGGGCCAGTTTTAATGTCACAGACTGTAATCGATAAAATTTAATGAAAGTTTAAGGAGACCTTCTAATAGGTAGATACGTTTTTATGCAGTATTAGTTATAATAACCATAATAGTAGTTGTATTAGACGTATAACTGATAGAGATCTACGTTTGTTTTCGTTTATAGATTTTCAGGCCAAGACACCACTTGGGATTCCTTGGAATAGTTACAGATGATAATAGGCTGATAAGAAGGTTGAGATATTGAGTTAATCTGTAAATGAAGCGCTTTGAATGGAAAATAAAATCTGAAAAAAAAGATTATTTATTAGAAACACGGAATAGAGCTTTTGAGATGATTCGAAGAATTTTAAATTAGAACTGTTGAATAAAATTGGTATTGGATATTTTGGCTGACTCCCATAGTTGTACGCCTTAAAATAGTAACTTATACATCAATAGTTTGGTAGGTTATCTTATACTTTTTGAGATTACGATCAGACTAAAAAGATGCAGCCAGTATTTATTTATTACGCGAGCGGTAACCATGTAAATCTTTGAGATAGGTGTTTATGTTAAGATGTCAAACATATTAAGCATTGATAAAGAGTTCATTTTTAAAAGAATGTCTGGCGTACTCTTTGTCGGAGTGAGAATGTACAATGTATGGATGGATGGATGCATAGACGCGCCAAGAATAAGTGATTTTCTAGACATGATTTTAAAATTAAATAGTAGTGGTCAGGTAAAAAAGTTTAAGTTTGTATAAAAAATTTGCATGGTTATTAAGATCTGCAATAGAGTTTTTTCTTTAGAGCAAAGAGATAAATTTGAGTTTCATTTAAAGAAAAGACGACATGCTTGTAAGTAAGATAACAAAAAATAACGTTCCGTTGATTGATTATTTAAAAGAGAATACAATTAAAGAATAAAATATTGCTATGAAACACACTAAAGTAATTTATAATACATTGAAAAATAATATTAAGTTATATTACTGTTGAGGCTTAAAGGAGGAAAGCATCTTTAAAATGAGAGCCACTATAGCCATTGAGGCTGGTGGTTCATGGAAAGGATGTCACAATTGCAATATGAAAAACATACTCCCGATTAGTGGCATGAGATGAATTGTGTAAGAGCGATGTATACCCCGTCGAAGGATACTACTAACAAAGTTGTGTCAAGGTCGAATTTCTGTGGAGTTTGGTATTGCTATAAGAAGAGATTATTCAAAGAAGACCGTATGGTGTCAATATATAAATAATACCTATAATCGTTTATAATTTTCATTTAAAATCGAATTTATAAAGATAAAATACAGCAGTAACTGTAAAAGTTAACATGAAACGATAAACTTAATGTATTAATAAACAGGAATATTTTTGGAATATAAAATAAATATCATATATTGAGTTTAAAGTCTAAATGTATGTATCGTAAATGGTAAATTAATATTTTTATAATTACCTGATCTCCCCAGTCGTTAATGATTGGCATGTTAATGTCATCGATGAATATTGTCATTTTACGATTACCTGGAGGACCATATGTAGTACCAAATCTTTTCTCCGTGTACCCTTCGACAGTACTCTAATTGAAGGGATAAGCAATGTTATTTTTTTTTTAATATTTAATACTATTTTTGTATAAAGTGCTGGTGCTTATTTTTCTCACTTGAAACATGTTCGGGGTGGTAGCCGAGGAAAAGTTAAGCATTTTGCTTATTCTCACTTCGGGATCAAACTCTTGCATATAACTTTTGATCATTACTGTCTTTGCAGTTCCTTGTTCGCCGATTAATAGAACGTTTTTTTCTTGATTTGCGATCAAAGTTATCAGAAACATGGTACGTACGTTGTCTAAATTTGGTACCAGTATATCACCGTACACTGGTATATAATCACTGGGGTACGTATATGACTCTATCAACGTTTCCCAGTGTTGCCATTCGCCGTCTTTAGATATAGTATAATCGTAAATCGATTCTCCTTCCTATGGAAAATATGATATCGATAAGTTTTAATGGTTTTTTTCGATGAACAAGTCACTTTTCTTTGAATTAACGCACTTTAAGTTTTGGGACTTTAATTTTTCCTGTCAAATCGTTTAAGATTAACTCTTCCAGTAATAATCTGTTGTCTGATTCTAACACGGCAGCGATGCTCCACATGATTGCAAACGTATATAACCGTGATAATATTGTTTTTGATAAATCTATTAAATTGTATCATACAATTATAATATTTATTATTATTTATTTAAAATTATATGTATTACCTCATTCGACACTTAGAAATATTTACCTGGCATTTCAGGAAACATGTTTAAGAGTCCGTCGAGTATATCACATGTTTGATGAATGTAATGTGGTTCCAATAAAACCATCTTGGGTGAAAGTCTAGATTGAAGCATTTTTAATAATTCGTTGTAAGAATTATCAAATATATCTTGAAAACAATTGGACAAATATGTTGATTTAGTTTTTCCCCATCCCTGAAATAGAATGATTTATACTATATAATATATATCATTACACATACGTATTTATTTATTTTAACTGTTTATAGAAAAATAAATTTATTAACAAAGCTCTGGACACTATGATAGAATAAAACACATACAATAAATATTATTACGTAACTTAATATTTTATATAATATATAAATAGAATAATAGATATTATTTATAGTAAAAATAAATTAATTTTAATTACTCTTATGCTGTATTTATAATTAGTGATAAAAGATGACCTAACAGGCGTGTTAATGTTTAACTGCTTAGAAGATTATTAAAATAAATGTATTCGTTTATATTTAATAATTAAAAGTTAATAATGGTTAGATCAACTTACATACAGGTGTAAAACAAAAGATTAATAAAGGTATGTCTTATGATCTACATTAGACTTTTAAAATATCACCCTTTTATGGATGATATTATTTAACAACTTAAGAATCGAGTTATTTGAAGCAGATAATTTCTTAACAGTAAAACTTATAAGCATTAGTATAAGTCAGGGGCGGCCAAACAGTCGATCGCAAACGATTTTAAAGTCGATCGTGCTAGAATTTATTTTTAGGCTGCGCTCGCGAAAATTAATTATGGTGGTATAGTAACTTAATAATAATAAAAACTTTTTTTATCGAAGTCGATCCTCAAAGGTGAAGTATATTTTTAATAGATCGCGGCCGAAAAAAGTTTGACCGTCCTTGGTATAAGTTATGTTATCAAATTTAAAAAAAAAACAACTTTAATACTTACTCCGAATATTACTCTCCACGATAACACGGTGGACGAGAAAAAAGTCATTCCCATCCTAGATATGGTGGCCGGAGAAGCATTGTCCACGTTGTCAGGTTCAAAACAAAGTTTGGCGTTAGGGGCCATGACGATCCGGTCGCCATTTGCCAAAGTAAGTGTTTTGTTATCGTCTAAGACTGAATTTAAATTTTCTATCCAAACCGCATCTACAGGACCGTCCAATACTATCCAGCAGTATTCGTCTGAACTCAGCTATGGTTGAATACGGGTATAATAAAATATAGTATAATGACTATCATGTCAAAATATTGCAATTTATTTTCTCAAAAAACGAAAATTTACCTTTAGCGTTCTTCTCCAGAGCGTCGAAAATATACCATCAGTCCAATCGTTTGTAGCCACGTCTAATCTCCCAAACATCTGCGGTGCCGTAATTGCTTTTGGATTCATTCGATACTCGAAGTGAGTCAGTCCAGTTTTGGTCAAGGCCGATAAGAGACAATGAATGGCAGTGGTTTTACCAGAACCAGTAGGTCCCAGTATCATCAGCCCATGACGCACCAAAGACGTTTCGTATACCTAAAAAACGAAATAAATACAAACTATCGAACTGAATAAACAATATTTTATAGGTCATTAGATACTTGAATGATTTTTAAATTCCACGAAGGATGGTTAACCAACTGTTTCTCATCACACGAGCTTAGTATGGCAGTTTGTAAATCTTTGTACGTAGTCGAAGTTGATTTCATGCCAACAAACAAATCTTCGATCAAAGACAAAAAAATGGTTTCATCCTGATCGACTAACTTTGAAACGTTCATTCCCTTCAATACTCTCATGAGTATTGTTTCTTCGGCTTCGTTTGGGTTGCTTCTCCTCTGAGTGCCAAGTGTACGTAAAACAGCCAGTATATTACGTAGACCAAAATCGTAGTGCACCTGTTTACTCAATTGTTCTTCGCACAACTGGTATAGTATGAAAAATTTTTTTGATAGGGGTTGGTTGTTTTTAAAACCACAAGCTGCTAATTTCACGCGTATTATTATCTAATAACAAACATACGACAACCTGTTATTAATTTGTTTTTTTTGTAAAATCCCGTAAAAATTTCTATTTTCATTATTTATCGATGATATAATAATGCTATAATAATCGTCGATAAAATTTGCGTAAAAACAACAAATTAAATAATAATTAAATTATCTATAAAATAGTTACTTCATTATAATATGAAGTAGTAAATATAATAATATATATATTTAGATTTGGCTGACAAAAGAAAAATCTGAAATATTCACTAAGTTTTTAAGTATTAATTAGATGGAAAACATTCGTGTGAACTAAAATATACTTTATATAATATATATAATAAACAACTATTTACTCTACATATATTTGTACAACTGTTTCTCTAGAGTATGATATTTGATTAAATTCAATGAAAAAAATAATATAATAATTAAATAATTCACTGTGCATTGAGATCATAATATTCAATTTGGAGTTAGATTTGTTCGATTGAAATAAAAATAAACAGTTAAATAGATAATACCATCAGATTATTATTATAAATATGTGTAGTTTTAATTATTAATGTTTTGATATGAAAATAATCATATATGTGACAGTTGTACACAGTGTTTATTATACGTGGTAGGTATTATTATTAATTATTAGTTTTTGTCAAACGTATGCACTACAAAATATATTTTTAACAATGTAGTTGATTTTGTTTTGTTCTGTTCTTGTTGTTACATTAATTAAAATAATAAAGTTTATAGTAAATAACATAATAAAGTTATTAAATGTCTAGTAATAATATTAATAATAGTAATATGGATGATTCAAATTAATTAGCTGATAAATAAATTACCAATCGGTCGGGTACCATCATGGCTACACTTCGAAAAAGGACTTTTAAGTTTTCTGGTAGTTCTTGACGTCCAGCATATCCAGGATTCATGGTCAGGAATATAGCAAATTCCTGGTTCATGGGAACTGTATCTCCATCGCTAGAGTAAGAAAAATATTGTTATAAATCATCATTTCGCATATCATATTCGAATACCTGAAAACGAATGTTTCTTTGTTGCTTTTGCGAGCCATAAATACAATGTATACTTGCTGAGCGGCCACTGAAAGTACCGGAAGTTCGATCCGGTTGAACTCATCAAAGCAACCCCACGTACCGGAGTGCACCAAGCCTTTGAAAATACGACCAAGTCCACGGTAGTCCATTTGATCTGAACAATTGAAAACAACGACATATTTTCCGAGAGATTTTCCCATATCTTTCGTCGTTTCAGTTTTTCCTGTTCCAGCGGGTCCTGCCGGTGCACCGCCCATATTCATTCCTATGAATCCCCATAATAATTTATACATTTAGTATGATTCGTAAATGAGCGTGATGCATTTTAAGTGTATTTTGTTCAATGTGTTTGGGTAAAAAAGATCTATTTTTCATAGTTATAGCAAGTTTAGAAAATTATATTTTAAATATTTAATTTGAGGGTTAAGTCACTATGACTATAGTTATTTCCTTTCAAATTATAGCATATAAACAAAAACGACTTAGTCAAAAACTGGCGTAGCATAAATATTTTCGTTTTCTTATTGCTCTATGTTAAATTTTCCCATTCATTTGTCTAATCACTGGGATTTTTTTTTTTTTTGATTTTTACACCCCAAGTAACAATAAGATATAATTATGATAGACTTGTATGTTGTCATAATTTTTATTTTTAATTTCTTACCAACTGCTTGGGCTAAGGTGATGTAACAACGATCGGTAAGTGGCGTGATCACGAGCCTATCCGAACAGCCCAAGAACTCATTTTGGTACAGAAATAACACGTCGGTTATGCGTACTTCGCATCGGTCAAATTCTTCTGTGTAATAAAACCTCTCTTGTTTTAACCATTCAAAATCAAGTAAATTCGTAATTTTCATGCGGTACAATGATTCGAAAATGTCTCTGAAATATTTACATATATATTTAAATTTCTGACACGTAGTAATGTTCGCAGATATTTTTGAAACCTTTGGTGAACGTGAATCGTAATTAAAGTCTCGTAGTTTAATCTTTCAACCTTGGTTAGATTCTTAGTGGTAGCGTCAATAAGTATATTAAGGAGCTTAATAAATTCTTGATTAGTGTCTTTCATAATTTTTTTCATGATAGTCGAGTTTTTAAGAGCATACTCTGTACGGATTGTCCATAACAATTGTAAACCGATGAGGCCCATCTGAAAATAAAGTATCAGGTATAACTCAAATCTGTAATAATTAAAACTATATACACACTTGAGCAGGAAATTTTTCAACCATTGTTATGATTGAGAATTGTGTGTCTGTCATAATGTAGTTATCCACGTTCGCTATAATTTGATTCACGGAAAATTTTGATTCATTAAGCAAAACATTTAGCCAATTTTCCACTCCTCCAGTGCACAACACCGGGTGTTCTAATAAGATTTTTTCACCTTCTTTAGATGCAATCTGTAGCACTTTATCATATTCGCTCTCGCTGTATATTAGTTTTGCTGTATTATCAAAAAGACTAAGTAAATGAGGTCCAATTTTATGGGAGTTTGAAGCTTGGCCCAGAATTTCCAATAAAACTGGGTCCGAGATAAAGTAAAACCTTGAAAATATGTTTCTTTTCTGGTCCAAGTACCTAATTGATAAACCGTTATTAAGTACATATTTAATATTAATTAAACGCTTGTCTCAAAAACGGTCTAACTATGCAAGAATCACGTAAATAAATAAGACAAGTATAAATCTGCTTAAAATAGTAAGTTGTGATACCCTGCTAATGACTTTTGACACAATTCCAACTGTTCAAGCATATACGGGAGTAAAATTTCCATTGATCCATCTCCGGTGCATATTTCAATAATGTTTTCGAGAAATCGTGCTTTGGTCATCAAAGTTACCCACAATTTATCTATAGCCTAAACATAAACCGTATAAATGCACCGTTTATAAAAATAAAGATAAAATAATTTACGGTGAAACGTTTTGTTTCTTGTGGCAACTGCTTAGATATGTCACCACCCATAAACACAGCTTCTAAATACATCCAAAGATTTTGCACAAGAATCCAATTTTCCAAGACTTGACTGGTTACAGCGAATTTCTTGACCCAATTCATTATTTCTGATTTGAACGCAATATTATACCTACAAATATTTTATCATAATTTTTATTTACTGCTAAAAATATTTCATTGTATAGTAAATTAATTAACTGTTTTTAAACTAGTTTCTTGTTTTATAAAAATCAACACATTTTTATTAAAACAATAAGAAATAAAAATTTCATTTAGAAATATTTAGATCTACTTCACTGAAAAAAAAATAAAATACTGGCCATGTGCTTGATACTATTTATGAGGAACACTGTAACATTGTATTGAAATTAAAATCTTGACTAAATAAATTTGAGATATTTTTACAACAAAACAGTTATAATTTGTAAAATTTTGTGATTTTGACGAATTTTGTAAATATTTCTACTTCAAATGCATAAAAAATAAAATTAGACCTATGCATTTTTAATAATTTTTTATAAGTTCAAAAAAATTTATGTGAAATCTTGTATTACATATTCAAGAATGTTGACTCGACGAATACATTTTTATCGATATTCATAGAAAAAATTAAAAAAAAAAATTAATAAGTTCTTATATTTATAAATAGCTCAAAGAGTCAAAATATTTCGAAAAACATGCCAGACAATAATAATATAAGTATTTAGTGACATTTTCAAGTTTCTACGATTATTCATTTATGAATTCTAAAAAAATGAAGAAATTAATTTTGCTAAAACAGGTTTTGCATAACATTTTTATATTTTCTTAATTTTTTTAATCATTAAAGGAAGTAGGGCCTCAAAAAGTTATGTACACAGAAAAAAAAACACACATTGTAAAATCAATACATTCATCGTTCAATTCGAAATTTAAAACATTATAACTTTCATCACCTAGTCTTGCTCAGAATACAAACATTTCTCAATAAGTTACCTATTGGACGCTAATGAACTCATAACCATTTGCGAGTCTTCCAGTATGGCTACGACTTCCGCTATTTCTTGTCCTTTTATAAGTAAAAATCCTCTGTTTTTAAATTGAGCCATTTCTATTTTTATGGTCGACCAATCAAATATTATTTGTCGCAATTTCGCTTCTATGTCGATCTCTTTGATAGCTGTCTGACATATGTCTTCCAGCTCGTCCTTATTTTTTAATAGAGGAGCAGATATAATATCCTTGAGTGCAAAATCACGTTCGTTTATAGGAAATAGTGTACCAGTCGCCTTTTCTATCATTTCCCAATGCCTTGGTTTTAATGAATTCTTAAACATCATTTCTACTAAAATCATTTTTTCCGACCATTCATCAATGTTGTTTTTTAATTCTTCATATGTTGGCCATGTCTTTAGACCTTTAGGTAGTTTACGACATTTTTGGGTGTAATCTAACAAACTGTCAATAATTTCGTCTACTTTTAAACGGGTCCATAGAGTACTCGACCAAGTTTGTATTGAACGATTAACCGAACTATATAGGTCATAAAGTTTTTTTAGTAAGTTGAAAACTCGTTTAGTTTCAGTCAACTTGGGATATGAAGTCACTGGCATTTTAAATAAACGCTCGCCATCTTGATAACGTTCCATCAACGAGACTAACTCTTCAAAACGGTCTTGAAATAATAAAACCCTAAACGTAAATCAAACGAGTATAAGTTTAAAAAACTAAAATAAAATCACTAAAATATTAGATATATATTTCTGTTTTACCTCTCAGCTGCTTCAGAAGGCATTAGACCTTCAACCATAGGACCTCTTTCGACAAATTGTTTATCAAAAACGTATATGTCTGACTTAAGATTTAATATGCCTTCTTGCAATTCCGTGTTCAAAGGTTTATACCTGTCCAACAATCTTTGCGGTGCGTTGCACATCTTTAAAATAACGTCCATATTTTAATATTATAATTACTTTTTATAAGTGCGTCCTTTATATTCAATGATATTTTAGTATGGATATTACCTCCAGTTTGAGTTTTTTATATGTTTCGGTAAGTAAATTCAACTGTCTCTCATCGTCAGGCTTAATTGGGACTTTGTATTCACTTAACAAATCATACACGTCAACAGTCATTTCTATATCATCGTCCAAATCCGTCAATTTGTTTTCCAGTTCTTCCAAACATAATATTACATTTCTTGCATCGACTAAATCATTGATTGGAGATGAAATAATATTGTATTTCTTCGCTATGTATTTACACAGAAACTTGAGCTTAGAAGATTCCAACACACCATTAGCAAATAAGATTTGCCACCCTTTGATTTCATCGTGTAGAGACTCTTTGAAATTGTCTGATAATAATACGGTATTAGTTAATTAATACTTAAATAGTATATATAATTTTAACAGAAATTAAGTGTCAATTTTAACAATCACCTAATTGAATTTCCAAAGGACCGATCTCTATACTCTGAGGTTCTTCATAAATAGTATCGATTGTTTGGTCCATATGGTCGAATACAAATCGAATTGAGTTCAATTCGGTTTGTTTTTCTAACAACCAATTTATATTTTCTACTTTTTGATGGTATTCTACCCAAATATCTTGATATTTAATTGCGTATTCCTGAAAATAAAATGTTACTTTAAAACATATGTATATCGTTATAATGAGTGAGCAAGTGTTTACAGATATGATGTTTTCTATTTCCAATTTTAATGGTCTTGTAGCATTCTCTACTTCTTTGGCTGCAGCAAGCACGTCTTTGTTTTTAGATATATTTTTTTTGTAAAAATAATCATTCATCTGCGTATCAAAAATCCTAATACTTTAGTATAATAATTACAGGGAATAAATGGAAAGAAATATGTTTAACCTCATTGTCTTAACTTAAAATAACTGCAAAAAAAATGAAGAGAGAAAGAGAAAGAAAAAGATTAACTTGATACAGAACATAAATAGTGAAAAATAAATAATATTTAAAAAATTAAACATATTAATACTATTTTTTTTTTTTTTAGAGGAATTTTTTAACCTCGAATTATATCCTGAAAGTAAACACCATAGATTTAATGAAATCGTTATAATTATATCAATCGATTAATGACCAAAAAAAAAAAAAAACTCGAATCAATATTATGTTGCTGTTGTACTATGCGAAATCAAATATATCAATATTTTATTATATAATACGTAATATATTATTATATAGGTATAATATACAATTTAATTTACCTTTATGTGATTAAAACCCCAACGTCTGAATGTCGTTGTAACATTTAATGCGTTTGAAGTCACATGCTTCAAAGCTGAGCTAATCGTTCTCCATGACGGTTCGATTCCAATGTCAGAATCAATCAAAACTAATTTGATTTTCAAAATTGGCGCTCGCTCCGAATTTGACACACAACTTAATACAATATTATTGTGATTATTATTATCATTATTGATAAAAATTCATTGGAGAAAATTAATCGGATGCTCACTGATAATAAGACAACCCATCTATCATATGCTCAAACGTACTGCGCATCGCGTTTACGAGTGACTTGGTGTAAAAAAAATTATAGAATCTAAAAACATTCATGCACCAGTCATCAACTTGTTTACTAGTTGGGTGAACGGCAGCAGGAAACCTTTCGTCTATTTATAAAAATATTTTAGTTTACGTAAAACGTGTGTAATTTAAAGTAAACATCACAAACTGCGTTTAAAAAATATATCGGTATCAGACTAACTCATACCGTTACGTTTTGCTTCTCCATCCGTGTCTTTGATATCATCCAATGCTCTGTTCACGTTAAAAAATTTGTACATTGTGTCTTCGTCTTTGAAAGAATATTTATCGTTCACTCTATAAAGAATCAACTTAATCACATAATTAAACACCTCTTCCATGAAAATCGATTTGTCTGAAATGTTTTTCATAATATCCGCCAAATAAATTTTGTTCAGTTCTTTAAATTCATATGGCCATAGTGGCTCGTTTGGCAATTTAATTAGCAGATATTGGGCTATATTTTCAATCTCATTTCGTAAAATAAAATCCAAATCGGCAAGCTAAGTCAGTAAGTAGATATTATAAATTAATATAGATATATATTATATTATGGTGAATCTAGGTATACTGTTTTTATAAACGCCTCGCTGTAATTAAAGTTGTACATCACATCATGCATTATATTCATAGCACCGGTTGAAGACCATTTTATTGTATTAAGCAATGGTATCAGCAGCTTATCCATTTTCATTAGTTCAAAATTGACTAAATTATAAAATACATCTGGTACCATTTGTCTGTCAGCGTAAACAGCTTTAATTACATTTGCTGTTTTAATAATATTAATTTATAAAGGACTTTATACCTCAATCGATTGTATCGTTTTACGATATCTTCGGCATATATGTATCTTTCGTACATCATATCTTTGCGCTGTAGCTTCAACTGTAGTCTTCGTGGTATGGAGAGTCGGTGGTAAATCATAAGTTGAGCAATATCGACTTTTTCAGTGATGAACTTCGAAAAATTGACACTATACTTCCTCGTTGTTTGATCTCTGATTAATAATGGGCCAGTCCTCGAGTTATTGTCCTTTTTAATTTATGTATTTATATTATTATACTTTTAAATATTTCATACATTATAATATGGTAGGTAGGTACTTCATAAAATATGCAGAATCGTAGTTTAAACTCTGTACTTACTATTTCAGAAATTTGGTCGCTCCAATCTGTGTGTAGAGTTAATTCATGGTTTTTAAGTGCGGTACACAAAGCTTTGTACGTATTGATATTTTCCCCCCATAGATTATGACTTTTGCTCTGTAAAACAATGAGTTGTGAATGTATAAATGCAAGATATAGTATTTAATTTTGAAAACAATAGGTGTTTTAGTTTTTACCAAAAAAAATTTCATCGGCATTTTAATTTTTTCGTTTATCATCGCTATCCACATAATTTGACAAGTGGTCGTAGGCAAATGATATGTATACGGCAAATTATCTCTAACCGAAGAGTACAAATTTCTGTAGTCTAAAATTAACATTTTTATGATATCAGTATTTATTGACAAACACTTGGAGATTAATGATTATTATGCAGCATTATTTACAAATGTTTATATTTTTAAATGTACTGATGTACACTGTTTCGAGATCCAAATCATCCATTTTCAGTTTTTCGCACTTCTTTAACAATTCAACTTTATTTACAAAGTCTGGTGTTTCTTCGATTACAATTTGTAAATGTTTTTTCAAACGAATTTTGAAATCCTTGATATCCGAATCAAATTGGTCACTGTCTACTTTAAATTTTCGATCATCGATTAGTTTTAATAGATCTTCTCTTTTTTTCGTAAATGTTTGGAACATTTCTTTTAGCTCAGCATAAAGTGTACGAACCATTGGAATTGATGATTTTTTCAAACCCTTATACGATTGATATGTTTCTATTATATTTTTCATCTAAAAAATAAATATAAATATAATAGCGTATGTATTAAATACTTAACTTAAATATTTTTATATATAACAAAAAAAAATAATAACATTAGAATTTAAGTATTATGAAAAAAAGTAAGAAAATTGGAAATTTTTAAACATCAATATTTTTTACGTTGACCGACAAACTAAATTTTTACAACTAAAAAACAAAATAATATACAAATCCGTTAACACCCACGTACATATATCAATAAAAAAATCATGTCTGATTTAATATAAGAATGCTTAATTATTACTAAGCTAGCTCTTAATATTACCTATTAGTTGTTAGTTATTACTATGCTTACTTTGTTGAGTCGGTTGGCAAACTCAACGAAGTTTCCAAAAGACGTGATGTATAACACCCGAAACGGCTCCCGGTCTTCAATGTTTATTTTGTTAACCGATTTATTGAGACAATTGAACATGTGCTCTTTGAGTTCTATGCACTGTTCAAGCTTCCTGAGCAATATAGATTTTGATTGACTCCAAAAAGCCACAGTGAAGTCGTCAGTCAAATAGTGTACACAGCTTATCACTGCCTGATTCAAACACGTTAAAAGCACTTTAGTAGTGGACCGTTTGTCAAACGCGTATTTAGAAAAAAATTGTGCCATTGGCATAGCGTCGAAAACATTTTCAATAGCAGATCTTAGACGACTTATATTGGACTGGTATAAATCTTCGAACAGCTTCTCAAACGAGTTCAGAAAATTCACGGTTTCCCTTATTTTTTTGTATAAATCCATTGTTCGTTGTTTCACGACAATCCAAGGCTATATCATATGTGACCAAGCATGTTATAAAATCATATTTCGTTACAGTATATAATAATATAATATATAATAATTAATAAATAATGTAACTCTAAAAGTTTCAAGAATTGAGTGACTATTGTAAATCCATTTTGACGTATTTCAATTAAAAATATAGAGAAAGTCACTAAACTTCATCCCCTAAACGAGAAGTTTATGTTATTGAATATACTTTATTTAAAAAGTAACTAATTTTATTAAAACCGATAATAAAGAGGAAAAATAACACATCTTCCCCTTTCACTGCTTTCTGATAGTTAAAGTATATATACCCATAATTTATATATGATATGTGTTATCGTATTCACTTTTAGCAAGGTAGAATTAGTTCGCTCCATGGCTATTTCGGCAAATACCACGAAATTACCCTCGAACAAAAAACACACTCGATTAAACTTAATAAACATTTTTCTCCAAAACTCTATTTCTTTGTGAGGTCCGAACCAAGTTGGCTGTTTTTTTTCCAGCTTATACTGCCGAAGTATCTGTAAGCAGTACATTACACAATGATAATATTTATTAGAGCACAGGACGTTAGTATAATGCTAATGCATTATGTATTTTA